CCGGATCTAATGAAGACGGAGGTGAAGGGGGTAAGGAAGCAATGGTCGGATCTGCTCAAAACTCTAGCTAGGATTTGAGAGGGAGGAGCTCGAGGGAAGGGCGGAGGAGGAGAGGGGGAAAGGAAGTGGAGGGAGGGTAGGTGAACTTGGTGAGGGTAGAGAGGGTTTGATGGAGGGGTCGAGAGATCGGAGCTCGTGGTGGGAGGAGAGGACGGAGGGCCCACAGGAGAGAGGGGGTCCACGGGGGAGTGGAGAACAACAAGGTGACTAGATTTCTGAGAGAGGAGAGAAATGAGCGGAGGAGCAGGTTTTGGTGAAAAGTGAAAAGAACCGCTCGCTCTTTTCACTTTTCACTTTTCACCCAATAGTGACGTGAAAATATAATTATAAAAAATGAATCATTTTCAACTATTTTCATGTTTACCTTGTTAAGGTGTCACATGAAAGTGTGCTAGCTTCATATAGCATATTCAACACTTTTTTCACTTCAAACTAACCACTTCATCCTAATAAGCTAAAGTGGGTTAGTGTCGTAAGAGAAATGTTTTGTAAATTGACGGTCTTTTGGTGTGAGAAAATGATGAATGTATAATAGAGAATCTACTTCTCTAATCACAATCATTTATCATTTTAATTGTGAAAAGTGAAATGAATGCAGTTCATAGGGGTATAATTAGAGCTATATTTGGAATAATTTGAGTAGATTATGGTAAAACAATAGTATTTAGAAGCATAAATTGAATGGACGTTAGCAAATTATGTATTGCCCTAATGTTACAGAAAAAAGTGGGAAACTGACAGGATATAGTTAAGGCCATATACTGTGGAGTAATTCAATCAAAACACCCCCATGTACTGTGGAGTAATGCAAATTATGTATTGCCCTAATGTTACAGATAAAAGCTGTATATGCACTAACTTTTTCCTATTATTTAGCATACTTGAGATTTACTCCATGAAAAAATTCAGCAATTAAACAACAATATAGTTAAGGCCATATAATGTGGAGTAATTCAATCAAAACACCCCCATAGAACCCCCATAGAATAAGATGATCTACACCATTCACGAGATGCTAGAGGGTTGGTTTGCAAATTGTGGTAATTCTATCAAATATATAAACCACCACTCCTACTTCAATAGCGATGATTCTAACAAGATCCATTCTGCGACAGTGCTATAGACTTTGCTAGGATCTCAATAATTCCCCTACTGAAGGAATGGTGGCAATTGGCAAGGAGCCAGACAGATTGCTCCTCATACAACATGTTCCCTACAAATGATATCAATTGCAAATATGACACAGCCGTATGGTAAAAAAACTTCAGAACACATCATATTGATCTCAAAGTACATGACAGGAATAAACAACAGTTAGCAAAGCAGAAGAGATTAAGCTAAACCACTCAGCAAGACTATTGAAGAAAAGTTCAAGGGATTTCTGTATAGATGTTGCCAATGTTGAACATCTATCTTCAACATTTTGAAGATTTCCATAGAAAAAAGCAATCAATTTGTACCAAGCAAAGGGTGTGGTCTTTTCTTCAATGCAGAGACCTTTGCAGGGCTCTCCGTTGAAGTAAGACAACTATCAACCGAACATTCAGTAATCTGTGGCAGGCAAGCAACTGTCATTTCTGCTAAAGATGGCATTTTGAGAGATTCACACTGGAAATTTGCGCAGCCATAAATTTCTCTGGTTGACAGTTCAAAGATATCATGAGTGATAGATTCATGTTCAGTCGCCACAAGATCAGGATCAATGAGAATGTTACATGCTCTCTCTAGTATGGATTGCAGGTACTTATCTTGAGCTTCAATTCGAACCTGAATATGCCTTTGCACCTGCCCAGAAAATGTGCAGGGAAGTGATTAATTAAGAGTTTTAACAAAGTGCTATGGGACAGCGGATGCATACATAGGGGACTGAACTACTTCAAGAGAGTTTGTTGGTTGCTAAAGTAATGAAAATGCAAGAAAGTCAAAGGATTAGCACACACAAAAAAATTGTGCTCTATAAAGAAGAGAACATAGAAATTTGCTTTAGAAAAATACTCTCAGCCGTAATTACCATCTTCATAATGCTGTTACAACTACACCTTTCTGAACAAAATAATCTATTATCATATTTTTAAAAAAGAATGTCCCATCACGTCACATTGACACAACTCAAATCTCTAGGATATATTCATAGAGTAGCCGCCTATCTTAATGGGTCCCAAATATTCCATGTTTTCAGAGTTACTAGTGTTTCCATTGTCCTCTTTTATTTTCAGAATTAATTGTAATTCTCGGTTACTTTTAGGATTTTAACCAGTTTTGTTTAGTTTTCACATAAAATGTTTATTTAGCTAGAATTTCTTTTTTGAGAAAATAGTTAAAATTGATCATAAATTTAGCTTCTTATTTATTAGACAAACCTTTTACAAAGATGGTTATCCTTTATTTTAAGGGTTAATTAATTGCAAACAAACCTCCTTAATATCATCCAATTGCAAATATAACCCCTGAAATTCTATTTGTTGCGAATAGACCCCCTGCCATATTGGCCCAATTGTGGATGCGCCCCTCAGTGAACTTTTTCGACACTTTTAAAAGTAAAATAAAAAAATAGCAATTGGGTGTCTATCCTCACTAATAGAATCTACAATAAATAGAACTACAAGGATATGAGTAAAAAAAATCCAGTCAGGGGTCTCAATAGATAGAACACAAGGGGTCTATTAGCAAAAATAGAACTACAATGGGTCTATTCGAAATTAATACTACAGAGGGCCTGTTCGCAATTAAACCTTTTTTAATTGAATGTTGGTAATTCTGCCATTGAGAGTTCATTTCTATGAAGTGGGATACTTCCTTAGTCTTTTAAACATGCGACTGATTGATTTGAATGTGATCCATAGATAAAAGTGTGAAATCTCAACTATTATGTGGGTTTTATCTACTTTTGTTTATCCTTTTTGTTTCTTTAGAAATCTCTACAACTACCTTACTTTGTGGCTGCTTTTGATCAGATTCTTTCATAAAATCAGCCCTTAGCTAATTCTTTAGCCCTCCAACACATCAAAGCCCTTATAACCCGTCTTCTTTCTAAAATCCCATCCATAAAACCTCAAAAATGCAGTTACGTATATCTAAATAACAAAAAATTTAGGTTTCTCACCAATGTTGCTTACTTGAACATTTAGTATGGTGTTTGCCATACTATGTTAAATATAAAATATTATGTTTCCATAGTACTTCAACTATTTCTTCCCCATGATTACTTTCCATATCATTGAAAACCTACATAAAAAATTTTCATTAAACCAACTTAACAATTCTCACTAAATCAAATAAGTTTTCACTGGTTCAAAAATCCTCAGTAACCTCCTCTACTTCTAACTAGATTCACATAGCCTTCCTCAATTTCAAAGATTATCAATAAACCCACATACTTGATTTCGTGACATACACCTCTTTTGTTACGTTGAGGTATCATAAGTACTTTTTTAAGATCAATCTTCTTTTATCTTTATTTTTGAAATAGTAATTTATCGTAACCTCTCAAAACTTTATTAAGGTGCATAATGATTTTATGCTTTCAATTCATGAGGACTTAGTAAAAGTAACTAATCTAAATGGGTACATAAGCTAAATTGATCAATATCCTATACTTCAATTTCGTCACTAGCATTTTTCACCTTCATTCTCTTTCTTCTCATTAATAACCCATCTAATCCAAATTTCGCCTTGCTTTTTTCCACCCTCTCCCTTATCATGTCCAAGTGGTACAAAGAAAAACAAAAATGAAAATTTAAATATGGAGGACAGAAGAGTCTAGTAAAAAAAGCCATTGTAATTTATACATATGTTCTAAATTGTTTTTTTTAATGACCTAGCCCAGAATCAAACCTAGGACTGTATGAGTCATATTGGAACCTCCTAGCCATCCAAATCACCCACGATGAGCTGTTCTAAATTGAATTAGAATAAAGATTATGCATTATTGATTGGTATAAAATTAAATAAATCAACACTAGACTAAATAATCACCAATAAAGTAAGGATATGAGTATTTTAATCAAAAAATTACTTAATGATGACTCAACATAACTTATGGCTATATATGATAAGGAAAAAGAGGATAGGTGTTCATTAATGATTTTATAAATTGGAAGAATGATTCTACTGAGAACTTGTAGGGGGTTTTCTGATGATTTTCGAAATTCAACGGAGGTGTTATATGATACTAGTGAAAGTTGAGCGGTTTATTGAAGTTTTCCAAATCCAAAACTTATTGGAAGCCCTAGAGTCTTAGTTTATCTCCTTCATTTTTAATCTAAGATATATAACAAAGAAAGACAAGTAAACACAAGTTACCAACCACATGTTGGATTTAACTCAGATTTCTATTTCCCCAACAACCATAACTGTCAAAAGTTCTTTTCAAAGAAAATTTTAACTTATCTATCGAGATAAAAATAATCTTCACAGCTTAACGAACTAACCTCTAGTTGTTCATGAAGCCTTCTCTGAAGTTCCATTTGGACTCTCATAGCTTCATTGCATCCACTGTCCAGGAACAGAAACGTGAGAATAAAAAAAAGTACCATGATGTGAAAGCCAGAGGGTCAGACATACTCGTTCAACTCCTCAGCAATTAGAATTGATGATGGAGGAGCTGATGGCTTGGCGCTTTGGGTTTCAGCAGCACCAGAAGCTGCAGTCCCATGACATACAAAGGTTAGACAACAGGGCTAGTCACCACAAAGTTACAATAAGGGTCCATTAGCAGAAATCTTTTAATAAGAGAGTTCTTGTGTTGATGTCACTAGTGAATTGAAAATATTTGGGGACTCAAAATCGGAACAGATATATCATATCATTTATCTGGGTGCTTGCTTTATGCAATAACATTAAACAAATCCTTAATATGATGTGCTGATTTTAAAGGTAAAATGATATCATATCTCATGAGAAGACCCACCACTGGTCCTAAATATTTTCCATAGGACTCCAAGTGCAGGAGAGAGTAATATGTATTCAGTATTTTGGCTAAGGAATTGAATTTTACCAGCTGGTAGCATGCCCTAAACTAAATGATGCTCAAAAACAAGTGTACTTTATTTCATAGTCATTAGCCATAAGACCCGTGTCCAATGTTCCACAAGTTGTGCACGAGTTTCATTTCAACGGGCCAACACCCAATGAAACATATTAAAAGGGAAGAGATTAAAAATTTTTGCTTGGCAGCTTGAACCCACTTCCTGAAGGTTCCAGCCCACGATCAACTGCTAGACAAGCATCCATGCAATTATTAAGGCAACATACAATCTAGATGAACATGATATAACACCTTTTAACAAAAAATGGCATGTATTGGCATAATTGAATAGATATGACTGATACAACTAGAGTATACATGATCTTTCACTCAAAGATTCTGCTACACAGTTGCCATGGTCACTTCACAGTTGCTAAGTTGCATTATGTCACAAAATGTATAACAAACTTTTCAAGCACTCTATAGAGGAACTTAAGGTGTTGGTAAGGAAGTGAATTTGGCCAAGAGGTGAGATCACGTAGATTAAAAGTTCTAGATGTACCTGTGGCTCCTAAAATATTGTGATATAAATTTCATCCCACCATTTAGGGCAGGTTGGTCTTGGCTGCATCCAAAATTAATGCTCACCAAAGCTTACTTAGGGTCCATTTGGCAACCATAGTGTTTTTGCCAAAACATTTGTTTCCATAGTGTTTCCATAGTGTTTCCATAGTAGGTAAAACATTTGTTTCCATAGTGTTTTTGCCAAAGCAAAAACCCCACGCATTTGAAAACCATGGTGTTTTCATGGAAAAACCAAAACACTTGTGGGAAAAAGCAAGAACAAACACTTATCTTTGAGTTTATGAGGTGTTTCGAGTTTAGTAATATATTATGGGACCCTAGTTCTTCTCTCTTTTCCTAACAAGTATAACTATCATACTAATTATCTTGGTCCTAAGGAGAGCTTGGTGCAAAATCTAAAAAATGTTTAGAGAGGACCTTAGCATTTTTCCTAGCCTCCATTGCACACATTGGTTGCCCACACTTTTATATTGGACATGAGCCAAATGGTTGAGGGCTATTGGGCAAAGGGGTGGCAAATGACATTTGTCTAACCTCCTCCTCCATGTGTTAAGCAAGAGAAAACAACCCAATTCATACCTCTCATCCTTTTATCCGAGATTTGTGGGGTTGAGAAAGAGGAAGAAGAAGAGGAGAAAGAGAGGCATATGGAACTTTAATCCAAGGTATCATCTTTCTCCTCAATACAATCAACATCTTTGTCCTCACTAAACTCCTATTGAATCCATGAGAAAACAATGTTGATTTAATGTATACAAAATTAGAAATTTATTTGATGAATTTTATTGGGATACGAAAGTAAAGAAAGGGATTTTTCCTGGCAAGTTCTCACTGGTGGTCATCTCCGGTAGCTTAGGAGGCATCCGCTAGTGTCTGACCACCTACAACCAGTCTTAAGCCGCTATGGTGGTTGTTGAAAGAGAGAGAGAGGGGCCTCCGCTAGTGTCTGACCACCTGCAACTAGTCTTAAGCCGCTGTGGTGATTGTTGAGAGACAGAGAGAGAGAGCAATTTAAAAAAGGTAGAAAAGGGGACAGAGAGACGATCGTAGGAAGAAGAAAAGAAGGAATAAGAAAGATAAACAAAGGAAAGTTTTGATAAAACCCCATGATCTTTCGAAACTTTGCACATAGTTCAAATTGAGTGAAAATATTAAACATTTGAATGGAAAATTCGTTAAGACCCCTGAAATTTTCTAGTCTTCATGAAGATCCAAAATGATTGATAGTCTTTTAACGCGAATAAATTCCTAAGAAAGATAAAAGATACTTGTAAAGCTCTTTTATGGGTCTTGACTACTGCTTGGTCCTATATGGACATAGAATGGTTGGTCTATAGTATAAGTTAATTTATTAACATTAACTGCAGTTTTATACTATAGGACTTCATTGAGATCAAATGACTAGGTTGAACATTTGAACCTTAAAATGTATTGTTCTCACCGGTTACTTTTGAAATAAATTACATGAGAAAAATATGCCATCAATAATTTGCCATTATGTTTACATAAATAATTATTACTGTGCTTTTTATTATTCATAAATGAAAAGTGTGGTTGAATATGCAATATATTGTGAAATGAGATTATTTTACTTTGATAATCTTGACAAAGAATTATCGATAGCTTTCCAAATCTTATGCGCTTAATCGTTTCTTTGTGATTCAATATTTTGTAGTGAAATTGTAAATGAAAGTGATAATTGATTTTGTCTATTTCTTTAATACATATGAATTTCGATTTTTCTCAAGATATTTGACAAAGAAATGGATTTAAGTGTGTTTTTGACAATTTTACGAATATTGAGCGAATTTCCAAAATTAAATATTAGGAGCAAAAATAAATGAAAATGAATTTCCTGAACGGTTTTGTTATTATTATGAGTTTTTATGCTCATCGTCAACCTAAAAGTATTTACTCGTGATTGAGTTTTCATATCAATAGTACCCGGGTATAAAAAGTGTTCACATTATCCACATGTTATTCACTGAACAAGGATTATTTTCATGATAGTCGAGAAAATGCAAAAGACTGAAATGTGTTATCGAAAACTCTATAGAATTTAAAGATTTATCCTTGATTTGATTTTGGAAAGTGCAATAGTAAAACAAATTTTAATTTTTGATAAATTGTTTACTTGACTTTATGAGATATACTCATCATCAATTTGAAAGCATTTTAATCAATTTTGAGCAAAATGATGTGTCTAAGCGATGCGAACTCTTAGTATAAATGATGTGGCCTTCTTGGCACAAGTGATGTGACCTTATCAGCATAAGTCATGTGGCTTTATTAGCATAAGTGATGCAACCTTAGTAGCATAAGTGAAGTGACCTTCTCGACAAAAGTGAAGTGGCATTATTAGAAAAAGTGATGTGGCCTTATCGGCAAAAGTGATGTGGCGTTATAAGCACAAGTGATGTGGTCTTACCAGTGCAAGCAAACTGGCCTTATCGGCATAAGTGATGTGGCCTTATTAGCAAAAGCGAACTGACCTTATTGACAGAAATGATGTGATCATATCCGCACAAGTGTTGTCTTTTATTTACCACAAGTGATGTGGCTCTTTAGCTTCAGTGAAGTGGCAGTTAAACGAATCTATGGCAATGTTATGTATTCTATACCAAGGAAAGATTGTCAAGTGATGAGTACTCGCATTCTCTTGCTACTAGGCCATACTTATAGTCATAGTGTGACCACTAAGTGTTTACTAAGAATTTGTTGTCTTCAAATGATTAATGAACTGATTAAGAAATCAACAATCATCTTTTATGCACAATTTGGTATACTCATTATTCTTGTGATTTTATAGCATCATAAAAGTGGTTCATAACAAATGATTTATTGTAACTTTTATTTCGAAATGATTGAATTTTCATATTATTTTTCCTAGCATATGTTACAAGTGCTTTTATCTATACTTGCATCATTTGGAAGATTGAAGTAAAATATTATAAGATGATTACCATAACATTAATAATTAATTATATATATTTATTACATTATAATATAAAATTTGATATGGTAATATATTATATTATAATATATACATTTATTGATTTAATTTATTATATTTGAATATAATAGATTATATTATAATAATTATAATTATAGGATAATATATTGTAAAATTAATATAATGTGTTTTAATGTAATATATTATATTCTATTTTGATATAATATATTATTAAATATTATATGGTACTTAATGTAGTTAATAATATTAACATATATTTATTATAAAATAATATGTTATACCTTTCATATTTTATATTATAATAATAGAATATATTATAATAATTTATTACATTATTATAATTTAATACATAAAATAATACAATATTTTAGCATTTACTTAATACAAAATATTATGAGTGTGTTTAATATACTATATCAATGCTATTTTTAATATAATATATTTTACAAAAATATAAATAATATTATAATATTTGTATGGAAATGGTCAAAATAGCTTTGAAAAAACACACTCATCATGGTGTTTTTAAAACGGTTTTGGAGAAAAACATCATGGTGTTATGTTTCTTAAAAACAACACCATAACAAAATCACCATGATATCCAAACATGCCCTTGGAGAATGTTTTCATTTTCCATAAACATATAAGTGTTCTATTTATAATTAAGTAGTGATTATTATAATTGCTTCATTAAAGGCAGAAAGTTAGCGGTCTTGAGGAGACAACCAAACCAATTCACATGCCATCCCCTAAAACCTCAAAAGAAGACGTCCTGTATGCATCTTGACTCATGCGTCCTTCCACTTAATCGTCATTCTTTAAGCAGTAAGGTCCAAGCTAAATAATATAGAATGAAAAGATCAGTAAGAGCCAAAACACAAGCCATATAGCCATACAAAGTTGCATAGTGCCTAGATTCTAGGAGTTAGTTCCCCAGAAAAATAAGTTTACCCTGCTTGTATATGCATGAGCGCTTTTTATACTTATTCTCATCTATAAGCTTGGTCACTTGTGATCAAAGTTATTTCTTCCAAAAGAGACTTGCTTGTTAAGATTGCTTCACATCATCCATCAATAATAGCCAATCAGATTTATTTATATTTTTCAGGGCATAATCATCTAACATAGCCTTCAGTGTCAGAAGTCAAGAGGTCCTAGGCTCAAAGTAATCGTTTGGAATTCATATATATTTCACTCAAGATCCACTATATTCATTATTGGAACCACAACTAATCATCTTATGCTTTTGAGTTTATGATTTCTTATTGCTTAGATGTACACTTGATGACTACATTTGCTTATCTGACACATGTTGCTTTCTTTTATCAAATTGATTGTCAGGGTTTCTTCAGTTAGATTGATTGTCAAGTATCACTAGTGGCTTTAACTAGTTGAGTTCAATTGTTCACAAGAAAATGTCAGAGGGCATCGTATTGGCATAAGTAAGCCTAACCTAGGGCTCCAATTCTATTCCATTCCATATATAATAAGCTTGCAGAGGACAACCCTATAGATCAGACTCTCTAGAGTGGCAGCCTATTAACATATTTGCAGGTGAACTCAAGAGAAATGGTGTGTACAAAAGAGCGGCAGAAACTGATTATGTACGGGTGTGGTTTTAGCTTGTTCTGTGATTGAATTGTTGTGTATGTGTGTGTTTGCATGTGTGTGAGCGCAGAGTGTGTGTGCGCAAGTCTACGTGCGCGTGTGCGAGGGATGGAGGGAGGTAGGGAGTACCATCACTAGAGTTGTCAATGAGCTCTTTGCATGATTGCTTTCCTAGTCTGTATTTCTGAAAAGAGAGCAACAGAAAGTGTTACGAAAACAAGATAAATTAACAACTATGACCTTATTCTGACTTGTAATAGAGTATAGACCAACTATAGGATTTCTCTTTAAACATGAAAAAAATTAAATATAAAGTTCTTTGCCACAACTTTTGCTTAATCTTAAGCCTTCATGATTGTTGCTCACTCCTGCATCTATAATTTAGATTCTTTAATCTCCTATTTCCTAATGCAGTAAAAGTAAACTGAAACCTCATGCTTAGAAACGGACAAGTTAAACTGAAACCTCATGCTTAGAAACGGACAAGTTTTTTCAAGTATGTTGCTCAGAAAGAGACCTGAAGATGACTCTTCAAATGGTAGAGAGTAAGACCTCTTATATTCATAAGCCTAAGTATCGTTTTTGGTGTCGCTTCTGCAAAAGAAACCAAGAGAAAGAAGGTTTAGAAGTACAATCAAAAGAGAAAAAGCATAAATAGTTAAAAGGCAAAATTAACTGAGATGACTACTTCTGACATTTATATCCTTCCCCATGGGACAATAAAAGTTTGGGTTATTTGCATGTATAGCCCTTAAATCATGGGTATTTGGAAAAATATCCTCAAATCTTAGTATTTGCAAAACTAATCTCAAATTATAAACTTTGTGAGAAGAAAAACCCCTAAAATCAACAAATCATCAACTTGGTGCTAAAAGTTTGACTATTTTGTTAACAATTTTTGCATTGCGATTACAAATTAGCTTATCAAAGTTGATGATTAATTGTTTTGAGGGTAATTTTTTCAAAATTGACAATTTGAGGGGTATTTTTGCAAACACTAATGTTTGAAGGGTAATTCTGCTAATATCCATGATTTAAGGGGTATATATGAAAATAGCCCTAAAAGTTCTAAGTTTTAACATATAGTTTACGGAAAACATAAAGGGTCTCAATTCAGTAAAGTAATAAGTAATAATCAAATTTCAGTGTTGGACTTGTGCTCAGATGCATCAGTACACCTATGCACAACTTGTGATTTATAGCAATCTGATATGTATTCCATAAGATGTTTAGCTTTAGAGCCACAAAAAATCGGTCCTTATGACACCATGGGTTAAATTTATTTAAAGGAATTATTATTGGGTTAAAGAATGGCTTTGAAGAAGTTTATTGAAGGTTGTTTTGATAAAATAGATAGGAGTAGAAAGAATTTCAACTAGAGCGCAGTATTCGCTTTCTTACTGACAACTAATGACTATAAAGAAGGGGTGATAGTAGAGGTGGAAACAACACTAGACTTGCAAAGAAAGAATGAGTCTATCTGTTGAAAGTCCCATGTTACCTGGATACTTCAAATCGAAAGCCATCTGCGTACCTGACACGTACCCATATCCGTACCGAAATTTCTTGGACACTTCTTGAATATATGCATACTTTATTCACGCACATACTCAATTATATTAATTTAAAACAATTCTCATACAATTCTTGGACGTCTATACTACACATCAATTTCTTTTATTGTGATCATATGTAAATGAAAAAACAATAATGATCTTATACAAATTACTAATTTTGATACATATATAAATATATAACACACACAAATAGCCGTCTCCCTCTACCCTACCTTTTACAAGTTTGTCGTGTCCGGTACCCCTACTCATACCCGTACCCGTACCCATGCAACTTGGGATGAAACAGTGGACATAAAATATAAGCTCTACTTGATGAAAGAAAGATTATTGTATGTGAAAGAAAATATGTCTCTTTTGAGGTTCTTGTCAGTGTTTTATCTAAGCTTTTCTCTCCCGATGAAAAAATAGAAAAAAATTACTTATTGTTGTCTTTTCATTAATTTTCTCTCTTTGTAGAAAAGCTAAATTCAATCTCTCCTCAGTCCTACCCAGGCAAACATGATATATATGATTGTTCTTCTATCTTTGCTCTAGAAGATAAGTGACTGCTCCATTAACGTGATCAATTTCAGACAGTAACTGCTCTTTCCAGTCAGATACTTAATATCAGTTTCTTTAAATTCTTAGTCTGCGCTTGCTCCATAAATCCTCAACGCAAGTTCAACAAAAACTTACTTGCAAACTCTTTTTTATATTCTTTGGTAAAAAGAGGCTCAATTCAATAAAGTACATCTTATCTCTAGTCAACAATGACACGTTATTTCCTGATAGTTTTGATTCAAACAATGATTACCACCAGGCTGCTGCCAGTCATTTCCATTGCCACCACTACCATCGAGACTCAATATAAAGAATAAGATTGCACTATCTAATTACAAACACCAAAATAGCAGAATAAGAAGATCAGCTAAAAGCCAATGTTTTCCTTTTGAACGAGTAAAGGCTTTCATCAAATTAGAGCTGGGTAACCTACCACAATTTTAGACCAAAAAGTCATGCTACTGGAACCAGTTAATTATGTCAATACTACAACCTCAAAGATGATTTAGCGCAACAGAAAGCGCTCTAAAGCTAGATATATAGAATCATGTTAAATTATTGATGGTGCTATAGATACTGGATTGAAATAGAGATTGTTTCTTGCTTTCCACATACCCCATTACACGCAACAGTCAACTAACAATATTAAGTCTGTGTGCTTCTTTCACAACTTCAAGGAATACAACATAAGGGATTTAACTCTAAATCCTTCCTGGATTATCTGCTTAGTGTCTGAAATATAAACCAGTTCCAAAAGAGGTAACTGCTAGTTTCCATAGCTCTGCCATCACAAACATTTACATTCTTCTTGAGGCATAGGTGATAGGTCTTCTTTGTTCCAGAACTCATCTAGTTGGAACTATATTTGGTAGTCTTTAACATCTATACACTCATCACACTGGAACAGTCTCTTACTTTCCTAGGTTTATTGGGGGATTTTCTGCCAATCTATGACCTACATCAGTTTGAGACCCACATATTTTCTTTTTCAATATTAACTGGTAATTATCTGCCGATTAATTTCCAAAATTCATGTATTCTCTTCTATCACAATTCTGGACACATTCTAGTTTATGATACTAGTCCGATCCATCATGATTGGGTAACTTGCATTGGATATCAAAAGGATGTCAATTCTGCTGTCATTACTATAAGTGGATATTTTGCCTGACAATGGGTGTGAGTTATGCTCATGTAAGTTCCATATAGGTGATTTTGGCTTTCTTGATCTTTCAATCTTTCATGGAGTTCTCTGTAAGTTTCCTTAATCAGTCTGACCCATAAATTGCCTTCACCCAGTAATTTGATTACCATTTTTTTGTAACAGAGAATTACTGAATTCTGAACTCTCTTTGACATTAAGTCCTCACAATTTAAATGGTCAGTTTAGGAAAATCAGACATCCCTTGATGTTTCCAGTTTACCAGTGTTCATTTAAAGCAAATGGAGAAATTTCTGTAGTGTACCATAACAATGTCAAAGACAATTGCAGTTGAGAGGAAAATAATGGCTTTTAAAAGTTCAATATTCGAACATGATGCCAAACCCTCTATCGTATTGATTAAATTTGCGGTTTCCTCGCAAAAACTGGATATTGTTATGAGTGCCTATTTTCCTCAGGAGACTCTCCCCACAAACGCACTATTTTCATATTATAATAATTTGTTTGCAATTTGCTGTGAGGACCTAACAGTATAGTACAAATAATCATTAAATTCTCATTTAAACATCCATCAACAACAATCACCTCACAAAAAATTGAGGTCAAAGGATTCTGTAGAAAAGATGAATAGCAAGAACAGAATAATCTAACCCCCACAAAAGATGGAATGAACCTTGTTGCAGTGATAATCCTATCACACAACTTACTCTGGTTTCATGGTTGATCCCTAATGACCTAATTTAAAATGGGCGAGTATAAGATGTTAAAAAAATAACAATTTGTTAGTTCTACACCAGAAGTGCATAAAGTAACAGGCAAATATCGTGAAAATAGTGAATGTATTGTGTCTTTATTCCCTATTATTTATTATTGCCGAGATCATTCACTTGTTTTACCCTACATTCGCAACCCTGTTTGAATCAAGGGGAATATGGGAGAAGGGAAGGTAGGGGAGACCATTCACCCCGTTTGGATAGCTTTTAAGGGGTGTGATGTTCCCCCCTCGTTCCCCTAATTTCACCCCCAACAATACAAAATTTGTTCCCCTCAAATTGGGGTGGAAAGGGAATTCGTTTACTTTCCCTTATCTTCTCTCTCCCCTATTTTCCCCAACCTTCCCTACCCCCACTGAAATCCAAACATGCCTAAGAGAGATGGACAAAACAAAATTTTATTTAATCAAGCATAGAATAAATTGTAATGCCACACTGAATCTAGAATTTTTTTCAAACTAGAGTCAAAGATGCATCCAGAAATGAGGACAGTCAAAATGATTCATTTTCTTCAAAATGGACCACAGTATGAATGTTCAGCAAACAAAAACAAATCGCTTCTATCTGCAAAACAGCAAATAATATTTTAGGATGCAAAAAAACAAGGCCGGCAGCTCATAATAAAGCGTTGCATACATCATGTGTCTTTTACTTAACAGAAGAGATAACATAAGCAATCATTGAGGTCTGAACAGAATACTTAAGCAAGTTCAGTCAATAAACAATAAGCATCCTACTAATAGCAGATATCCAAAGACCAGTGCTGGCCCTAAAGAATCATATCCAACACATGAAATATAAGAAAATGGCTATGAAGAAAATCTAGTGTTAAAATAGAAGTATTTGTGTAGTGATCCCAAAGATGAGGTAAATTTGCAGCAGTGATTCCCCCACTATTGTCAGCCTATAATTCAGGGTAGCCAGGTACTTGCATTGAAGAAAATTCAATACTAAACCATAATTTGCTAAATAAACTACAACAGATGAGCATACATTACATCAGTACAACACTTCTTTTCAGCTTCAGAAGCTACCACTGTCAGTAAAATATATGAAGCAAACCTTTTTTTCTCTTTTTTTTTTTGTTGTTGTTTTTTTTAAACCATAGGATTGGTGTCTCATTTTTCTAAATAAGTTCTTTGAAATTGTTTTAAAGAAAAAGAAGCACTACCTTTTTCTTCTAGTTAAAACATCGGAAGAACTTCCGACATGCTAGCATTCAGGTTCAAAACATCAAGCAGAATATGAAAAATCAGGTTTCAGCCCAAATCAATCAACTAAAGAATCACCTAATTAATCACAAGTTGCTACCCCAAGGGTGTGTGTTTAAATTTTGCAATCCAAAACAAAGCAGAGAAAATTTCCCCCTAATAATCAGCAAAGAGTATTATTCGGTTTGGGCTTAGCAACATTTCATCAAAAAAAGAAAACCACATTCAGTCATTGATTTTGCTCAACTGTGAGTAATGATCAAATTGGTCACCGACCCAAAAGGGAAAGGAAAATTCAGAATCCATTAGCACTACACTTTCTAGCCTATCAAGCCACATTATCCAAACCCAGTTCACTCACACAACCAAACTAACAAACATGTTAAAGGCACAACACAACAATCCACAAAATAATCACAAATAACCAAATGGGTTCTCCCAAAAATAAACAATATGAACTCAGAACCAGAAAAAAAAACTCACTATCGGGGCCACCAAGCTGCGTTACGGCATCGACAAACCGATCATGGAGCTCGGCGGTCCATCGGCTTGGGATCAGTAGTCATCACAAGCCTCGCATCCACCTCGACCTCACCGCTACAGCTGTACATTTCTTTAAAAAAGGTAAAAAAATAAGAAGAAAAAAAAAGTACGGCGAAAATAAAAGAAGAGGAAGAAGAAGAGAAAATGGGTATATTTTCCTCTTCTCTTCCCCTCAATCTTTGCTGGGTTTTTTATTTTAAGTGAAAGCACGGAAACTGTGTTGGGGTTTGGTTAGGGGTTTAGGTTTGGGATGTTGTTTACTGTCCTTTCCCACCCCCCCTTTGCTATAGAAGAACACTGTGTGATTGGACTCTTGGAATACTTTATTTGAGGGAGGTGCAGTTACCGGGGGTGAGGTGAACTCTCTTCACATTTTTAGAAGGGAAGGAGACGAGCACAAGAGGACAATGAGAGGGTCAGTACAGGACGGTCAGCAGGACAGGAGGACCTTCTTCTCTGGAAAAGGACAGGGGTGGTGGGGAGAGGGACGGGAGACCGAGCTCTGCTCTTCTCTATTCTATGAAGGATGGCCTGCTCTCATTAAAATTAAAAATTAAAAATTTTAAAAGAAGACCTGTTTTGGAATTATGATGTAATTAAAATGTTAATTGCGGATAGACCTCTTGCATTAAAATGGTTTTAAATTTTCTATCTCAAACAGGGCGTTTGGATAAGGTAGCCGATTATAGGAAAGGGAAGTGAACACCAACTCGGTTGGGATTTTTCTCAAGAGGCATAAAAGAGGACTGGGGAAGTGATGTTTTCATAAAATGTCTTGTCATTTTTGTTTCCCTTAATTTGGGTGTAGAGAAAGGAAGGAGAATTTATCATAAAAGGTTTAATTTTTAACCCTCTATCATCATTAATTAACGATTGATGGTTGATTATGAAACCCTTCTTTGCTCTTCCCTTTCTTCTGCTGATACTCACGAACGAACAAATGAAATAAGTTCCCTTTCATTTCCTTTATTAAACTTCCAACAAAATATTATACTTTCCCCCTTCTTCTCTTTCTTCATTCAGCCATTTTATCGTTCTTTCCCTTTCCCTAATAAACTCCTAAACATACTGTTTAGTCTAATTTTGATAGGTAGACCTTCTAGGTGAAACTTTTTGACCTTTTTCACCCTGAAGGGTCTATTTGTTAAAAAAATTAGTTTTTTTCTTTTTCTGAGATTAAAATAATAACAAAAAGAAAACCAGAGAGAGAGTTCAAAACATGGGTAATGGAAGAGGTCTATATGCAAAACATAAAATTAGCAGGGAAGTTCAGAACATCCTTATTAAGCGGCAGGAAAGGATTCACATATTCCCAAGGAGTGCGCTAGTACCCAGATATTTTCACTATTAGCATGCCATACCTAGAAGTTTTAAAATTTGCTCCCCTAACCTATCTAAAAAATTTAGTAATAAAGTTTGAATTAGCCTGTTAGAAAGTAGAAGCCTATTTAAATTTTCAAAGGTAAAATCACATGCGCTCAAACTTTAAAAGCTCAAAACTGCACCTCCAGATACTGCCCAAAAGTCTAGAATCCAAAATCAAAAAATAGCACAAAACCCAAACACATTGCATTGTATATTTTGGCTAAATATCAAAAAATCTCCTTTTATTTGGATGATTATCAGATAACCTCCCATAACTTTCAAAATATCAGAAAACCACCCTTAAGTTTAGGGATTATCACAAAATTCACTTAACTTTAAGATTGTATCGTAAAACCCCTAAACTTAAGATTGTTTTTTTCCATGCACGGGTATGTTCTAATTTCAAAATTAGAAATTTTCACATAAGTGGGTAGAATTACTTAAGGGAATACTTTTTAGTGAAAGTAAAGGTTTATACTGCTTATGGGTGGTTTTCTAATAAAATCTTAAAGTTAAAGAGAGTTTTCTAATAATCCTTAGTGCTCGTTTGCTAAGAGGTTAACGCAATCGAGGTATAACTTTAACACGATAAGTATTTCCCCTAGAACAATTAGTGAGAGAGACATTCTTGTGTTTGGTTTAAAATGTCATGATGTTAAAATTTAATACAAAAGGGTCTCTCCCACTTTCGACCCAAAAATGCATAAACTACAAAAAACACCCCCCCCCCCCCCACCCCACCACCACCACCAAAAAAATTATTAAACTTGTAAACAACCTTCTCAAAAATCTGACAATTATAAAAGGCTTCATGTACAATTCAAAATTTTGTAGAAAATACCCTAGAAGTTTATAAAATTGTAAAATCACCATCAAAAATTCAAAAATTATGAAAAACATGTAAAAATTTCAAACCAATAAAAGCACATTGACAATATAGAATTACAAACATTCCCCTAAAAGTTTTGAAATTTGCAAAAAACACCCTAAAATTTTTCTAAAACATCCTAAAAGATACAAAATATACATGAAACATCCTAAACAGAAAAACTGACAAACAAGTATTTTTCTGTAAATTTCATTTTTCATGGTGTTTTTTGAAATTTTATAAACTTTAGGGTCTCTTTAGCAAATTTCTAAACTTTTAGAGTGTATTTTGTAAATTTTAAATTTATAAAGTTTCAGTTTACTGTTTGTATCTTTGAAATTTTTAGGTTTTTTTAAATTTATTATTTTTTAGGGTATTGTAATTTTTGAAACTTTTAGGTTATTTTTGGCAATGTCAAATTTTCATGGTGTTTTTTGTAATTCCTATGTTTTTAGTGTATTGTTTATATTTCTTAAGTGTTTTTTAATTTTAAAGTATGAGGGTGTTTTTTGTAATTTTCAAAACTTACAGGGCTTTCTCTACAAATTCCAAAATTTTAGGTATCGGTTTATAATTCCTATATTTTTAGTGTGTTGTTTGTAGGATTGAAATTCTTTGATTTTTTTATAAAATTTGAAATTTGCGGGTGTTTTTGCAATTTCAAAAACTTTCAGGGTAATTTTTATGCATTCTAATCTTTTAGAGGCAATTTAGAGTTCCTAGAATTTCAGCATACTATTTGTACGTTATGAAATTTTTAGGGTTTTAGAAATTTCAAATTTTAAAGACATTTTCTGTAATTTGTAAAACTTTTAGGGTGTTTTCTATAATTTTTATGTTTGGTTCTGTTTTTATGTTTTTATAATTTTAATCGTTTTCTAACTTTTGAATTTTTTAGATTTTTTGTCATTTTGACTGAGTTTTACATTATTGAGGGTGTTTTTGTAATTTTATAATTTGTTCGGTGGGTTGTTTATAATTTTCTATTTTACAAGTGATCTTGTCAATTTTCAGATTTTAGGAGACTTGTTGTAAGTTTTAGAACTTTTTAAGGAGTTTTTTTTTAATTCCACATGCTTAAATGAAACTAAGCCCCAACTTTTCATCCATTTTTCTCAAACTAACTTGGTTAAAAGTCTACCCTCATATGGGGTTAAACTTTATCATTTGAGAAGTTTTAGAATAAAAACAAATATGGGTAAATATGTGATAATATTTAACTTGACAAACTTTACCCTCCTTCACCGATGTACCAAACAAGCACTTAAACTTAAGGGGGTTTGCTGATGTTTTTAATGTTATGGAAGATTATCCAATAATTGTCCAAAGTTAAGGGTGATTTTCTAACATTAAATCTTATATTTTTATTTTTAGATAAATAGATACTTATTATCTAGCCCCTTAAGACCTTCTTTTGGTTCCGCTACTACCACACTGTGTCTAACTTGCAATTACCCCTGTAATTGAAGGCAAACTAATTTTAGCGTACTTTCTTTATTGATATATTTTCTATACTTTTTGCTTGTAATCATATGTTACAAATGACATATTAGTGAGCCAAGTGGGGCAAAAAAATGTGTTTCTTCTTCATCAAGAGAGACTCTTATGATAAAAGGCTGCATTCACAATTAGAATCATGCTTCAACAGGTTTATCTCATATGTTAGACTGTTGATGATTCTAGATGATAATAATGACGATTCTTAAACATTATTTCAGAGAAAGAGAGAGATTGATATCTTATAGTTTGTAATTCTTTGTTCTTTTTATTGCATATGCTTCGTAAAAAAGTTTATAAAGTCACATGTACCTACTACACAAGTACAAAATTTTAGTATGATAATACATTTTTCATACCAAAATACTTCATAGGGTTCAAAGTTTTATCTCTTTCACATTGTAGTCAATCTAAAGGTTTTCATTACATGCATCATATTGTTTTGATTCATGCAAATCTTTAATAAAAAGTTGATGCAGATTAGGATATCCATATACTCATGTCCAACTTATTTTGTATTATTATGATATATCAATAATATCTAACAAACTTTTTTTAAGACAAATCCTACTTTAGATATCACTTATCTCAACTAGTGATGCAAAAGGATTGGATATATGTATTCGTTTACCAATATATGATTCTTACCATATATGTATTCGTTTACCAATCACGGATATAGGTGCAAATTCGGGTATGTCTCGATAATGGAAAACTCATATCCATATTCATTAAAATCAAATAATGACTTAAATATACATGCAAATATATACATATATGTAGACATACGGATATAAAACAGATATGAGAAAACCAGACAAGATTTAAAATATATAGTTCATATGACATAAGAGTTCAAAGATATATTCGTTATATCTAGAAAGCTAAGATTAGATCTCGTGATTATCAAAATTAACCTCATATCCATTAATCTAATGATCAAAACAACTGCAATTGTCTGATATTTTAGATACGAATCCATATATTTCACTATATATTCATATTCGTAACTATATCTATTATGGTGTTCCCATTCGCTAAAAAGCAACCCATTGCTCAGCATAGGACAGGTGTACTGCATGTCATGCCCCAATCAAGTTGGCGGCCAGAGACCAGCAGGACAACTCAGCCAACTTGTCGAGTCGACATTCCTTCATGTCGACTCAAAAGGCGGTACTTGTCGCCCCCTTTGTCAAAGACTACTCGCCACAAGCTCACTCGACCATTTGCTGGACACCTCGCAAGGACGACTCAAAAGGTGTTACTTCTCGGTGAAGTTAAAGGATAAAATTAATTCTTCCTCAAGTCTCTTCCACTGGCAACATGTCTGCATTGTATTTAATGCTTGGCAGGCATCATCAAGCCTCTAGCCCCGATAGCCTTCATGACTCATCGGACCACGCAGGCACCGCCATGTCACCAATCACTTCTCGTTTAATGTTGAAGTGATCCTTCCCCCAGTGGCTAGCCGAGCTAGCCGATACCTGTAAAGTAGGTGCTGACTCAACCGTCAGCCCGCACTTCACCACCGCCATCATGTACTCGATTGAAGTGGCCGATCTACCCTTATACCATTGGTATAAATACATGTACTATTCGAAAAAATGTGTGATTTTAAGATAGTAGCATGTGACTTTGCATACAAGTCCATAAGTTTCTTAAGTTTGACAATGTATATTTTTAGGGTTGAATCTAAGGATGACATGCGATTTTTCATATTATTCAAGTTATTATTTTGCACAATAGCATTGTCAATAGAAGTAGAACAAACATGATTATTTTTAAAG